TTGTTGTATTTTGGTTCACCCTGGATAGTGTACGGAAAAGAAACAAATAGTTCCAGTTGTAATGGTGTACAATGCAATACTGCTGGGACGCCTATTACAGTTGCTTTGTTTGCAGGTTTGTTGTAAGGTCGCCTACAGAAAATGAATTTAACGTGCAATACCTAACATAGAAATGCCAATGTAGCAATAAAATATAACATGATCGAGTTTTATATCAATCGAAATCTTTATAGGCCATAATTAACCCTGCCCCCCATGTAAGGTCACCTACAATAATTGATTTTAACGTTTTTTACGGACTTAAAAATACCATAATAAAATAAGTTTTGTTGAAACGAAAATATGTATGTCTACCAAATTGTATGACATTTTCTTCAGAAAATGACTAAAACGCACAAAAATGGCTTTCAAATGTAGATGTAATAATGGAATTCGTCGAAAAAAAAAACAAAAAAATTTAGGAATCGAATCCTATATGAAACCTAAAATTATGAGGATCGGTCCGCCACACAATGGAAAATATATGACATTTTCATATGAAAAGTCAATAACTTCCCTGTTTCTCTATATAATATATATGTATATTATATTCTTTAAAATCTAGACATGTATTAACAAGACTTTTTTCCGTCATATTAATGAGTTTAATAAAATTCGTACAGTGGGTATAATGAAGTTAAGTTTTTTATTTTGTTTCGTTAATCGCAGCTGAATATCACATATATTGTTTATAATATGTGATGCTATATAACATCCAAAGGATTTTCCTGGGTACTCCTGGGCACTTAGTTAAAATCCTTTTCAAACTTTAAATTTAATGTAGAAAAATTCCGAATTTTTAAGTGCTTAAAGTATGCAACGTATAAGATATAATTAAAATTTAGAAAATGTCAATTAATTTTGCTTATATCCCCTTTTGAAAAATATATAACAGATACTTGGACTTTAATGAAAAGTATAAAAAAAATGCATTCAACTTTGAGCTTCAAAACACTTTTCAATCTCTAATGTAAAAATGCCTAATTTCAATCTTTAGTTTCTTGTACTTATAACCGATGCGTTAAAAAACTTTGTCTATATTAGTGTAGTACGTCATCTTAGCTTTATGAAATATAATTTTTTTATCCAAAATCCAAACTTTGCAAAAACCATTTTCGATACGGAAATCAATAAAATTTTCCACAGCGCGCCAACCCCCTTACAGAAAATCAATTTATAGTTAATACATCATTCAAAAAGTTTAGCATTATGATAGAACTATGGTAGAATTAAAAAAAATACTTTAAATTATGGAGATCTTGGTCCATAATTGACCCAATTCCTCATTGAAGTCCCTATTCCGAAAATCAGGCTAACGTTCATATTAATCTAATGATCAAAGTCCATATATATGTCCACTTCCACAAATTTGCTTCTTTACGACATATGTATGTTCTGATGATAGGTATATAAGATTCGGCATAGGCGAATATAACACTCTTACTTGTTAATTATCTATATACATCTACATCTATTCTAACGTTACTGACTGACTTACATCATCGCACAGCCGTTACATCATCGCACAGCCTAAATGGTTGAAGCTAAAGAGCTGAAATTTGGACAGGAGGTTGGTCTGCTACCAAATAGATGCACTAAGTGGGGATTTTTGGAAATTCTAATGTTTAGGGGTAAAAACAGGTAAATTCGGTAACCTCATATCTCCTTAAGTAGAAAATATACAAAAACAGTTTAAAGCGTATCGTCGTTCATTAAAAAAGTAATCGGACAGGTGTCTGGCACTTTTTTCAAATTCGACCCCTTTAGAGAATAAACGGGTAAATGCTGTATTTTGATACTTTTTTGCATCCAATGTATCTTTTAAACCAGTGAACCAAGGTATATTAATTATAAGGTAGTGTTAACAGAGCAGCTGATTGTTTTTTGCTAATACACTTTGGATTTTTTTATATGTAGTTTGACAGTGTGCTGGCACTTTGAAGTGTAGGCATGCTGTCAAACTCCATATATAAAAAATAAAATGAATTCGCTCCGTATTTCTGAATTCGCCGACGACACTACCTTATAATTAATATATCTTGCAGTGAACATTCAACAATTTTTTTGACTCTCATAACTTAACGAAAAAATAAAACAAGTAAGAAAGTATAGTCGGGCGTGGCCGACCATATGATACCCTACACCAGTTATGAATATTAAATGTGATTTATTTTTCATAATAAAGCATTTATCTTCAATATTCCCTTGTTCCTATACATTTAAGCAATTTATGGATAAAAAACTAATTTTCTGAAAGAGGCTTTATATGGGGGCTAGGGGCAAATATAGACCAAGCCCGATAAAATTTTGTGAATATATTTATATTTACATAATATTTTATTCTGCTAAATTTCATCGCGATATTTGTGTTTATAAGTAAATTTGGGACATTCAAGTAATTTTCTGAAGGGGACTTTGTATGGGAGCTAGGGTCAAATGGGGCCCGATCTTTATGAAATTTGGCAGGGTCATCAAGACTTCTATAAAACTTAGTTGTGCCGCATTTTATCGATATATCTGTATATTTAACATAATTATGAGCTCAAAAGCCCTTTTCGGGGGGTTCTGTTCTATGGGGGCTAGGTGAAATAATGGACCGATTATAACCATGTCCTTGGGTCAAATAAAACGTGCGTGCCAAATTTCATCCAATTATCTTGAAAATTGCGACCTGTACCTTGCGCACAAGGTTTACATGGACAGCCAGCCAGCCAGCCAGACGGACGGACGGACATAGCTTAATCGACTCAGAAAACGATTCTAAGCCGATTGGTATACTTTAAGGTGGGTCTAGGACGAATATTTTTGTATGTTACAAACATCAGCACAAATCCAATATACCCTCCCCACTAAAGTGGTGTAGGGTATAAATATGAATTGAGTATTTTTTGGATATTCTGAGGTTTTAGGGATGAAAATTGTACCAATTTTTGGTACTTTTTTCATAAGACATTGTTTTTTGTTATTAACTTATATATATATATGTATTATATGTATTACGTATGATGAATGCATTATAACGGGATACCACTATGATGTTGCACCTTTTTAGAATACAAATTTTATTTCGTTAATGGGGAGGAAAAAAGTACCGAAGGGGCAAATTTGATTTTATTCAAACACAATCCTGTCTGTTCTGTAAACCGAATCTGAGTAAATTTCTTGTTTAAAAACGAGTTCTCATAATTTTTCTCGTTTTAAAACCGAGTACACAAATCTAGTCGAAAGTAATTTTTGCGTTTTTTAATACAATTGTAACTTAATATAAATGCTATGGACATTTTATACTCTTTTTCATTTAAATATGTATGTTTTTTTCTGAATTTTTCGTTCAAATAAAAATTCGATTTGCAGAACACAAAATTCGGTTTTAAAAGCTTCTCGGTTTTGAAAACGAATCTATTTACAGAACAGACATGAATGAGTAAATTTAGCTAAAATTTTTAGATTTAGAAACACTAAATATGCTAATAGGGAGTTATTTGGAACCCCGGTAGCAAGTAATATTTTTAGTACTTTTTCGTTCTGTAGAGCCCGGAGTAAAATGCGAACATATAAAATTTGACCATTTGGTAATTTTTCGTTCTTCAACTGGTACTTTTTAAGTTTTCTATTATAATGAACCTAGAAACATGAAACTAAGCAATCAGGGACTTGAGTGAATGGAAATTTAAAATGGAGTATTTATTATCTGGTACTTTTTCCTTATTTAACTGGTAATTTTTGGATTTTCTATAATATTAAACTTAGGAACATGAAATTAAATAAAAGAGGTCTACTTTGGTACTTTTTCGTACTTCAACTGGTACTTTTTGAGTTTTCGAATATATTGAATATACTATATACATATGTATATAAACATAAAATTAAACACGCAGTATCCTGAAATTTTTTTGTAATTTTTTGTTTTTTTACTAATGCTTTTCGAATTTTCTATAATATTAAACCTAAACATAAAATTGGACACGCAGCTTCCTGATTGTATAAAAATCTGTATGCGAAGAATTTCTGGTTGAAAATGAAACATGCATCATCCTGATTCAATGAAAATCTAAAATCAAACTTATCCTTATTGAAAGGAGACTTTCAATATTGAACCTAGAAACAAGTATGAAAATCTTTAAAAGGGGACTTTTTGATATTGCATTTACAATAATAATATTTATTTTATTCCATTATGCAAAATAATGCTAATGGATCTGCTGGCTGCCATGTTACCACCGACAGCTATTGAAAATAAATTAACTTTTGTCATCTCGTAGTTCTCATTATAAGATACCGTTTATTATTAGATACCGTTTCCCAAAATGTGTGTCCTTAGACCAATATTTGGTGATCTGGATCAAATAATAAAAAGGAACTTTTTTAAAGTTTTTCCTATTTTATTTATATTTCACGTAAAGGTATGATAATTAATTTTGATATCATGGGAAAGGTTTTTGAGAGGCGCTTTTAATGGCGTATTACAAATTAAAGTTAAAAAAAAATAATTAAAATGTTATTTAGATTATTCAAAATTTTATAGATTACACTATCCGGCAAAAATAAATACCTGGGAAAATATAGGCCGATGATCATAAAACTTGGTGAAAGGATTTGTTTTTAATTTTTAAGAGTTAATCAAATTTTAATTTTTAAATTTTTTTTATTTTTTTCCATCCCTGCCTAATTTTTCACACAACTTTTGTGCTTGCTCTTTTTTATTGTTATAAATTATATACAAAATCCACTTTTTTATCTCTCGGACTCCGTTTTTATTTAAAATCTTTGAAAATTAGCGTATTTGCGAACTTAGCCGTCTTACAGTCGATTTTAAACCGCCGCCAATGTTTTTAGTGTCAGCCGCCGCCGCCGTTAATATTTGTCGGCGCAGGGCTCTGGTCTATGGTCGGCTTCGCTTCGTTATACATACACTTTTTTCGGATACGTATAAAAATAGGTAATTTTTTTTGATAAAATTATTTGGTGAAAAGTTGAAAAATATAATTTATAATAAAATAAAATCTATATAAAAATTACAAGTTATAGTGAAATTAAAAATAGGTGTACGTACATTAAGTTTTAAAAGATCAAAATAGCTTTATAATTTTTTCTTTTATTACATGGTACGTCAATGTAAAAAAAGAAATTTGATAAATCAAAATGGCCAATGAAGCTCATATATAATAAAAATTATTAAAAAAGAAAGCACTGATTACATTAATTTTTAGAAAATAATAAAAATATGTGGTTTTTGCATTAAAAATTTATGTTTTATACTTTGTGATAAATTCTGAGAACAAAAATTTATGAAGCCGGAGCGACACTTTTCTTCATTGTAACATGTGGTATACATACAGAATTTTTAAAGAATCAACCATGTTTTTTTCAGCTATACATACTGCACATATTGGATTGCAACTGTATTGCAAATAAAATAGAGTTGGAGACGGTATCAGTAAGCTGCTCATGAGCATTATTCGTGAAGCTGCTGAACTTGATCGTATTACAGTTAAAATACATAATATGAAACGTAGTGCTTCTCGTGATTCTCCAAATAGAACAAGTCATTCTTCACGTTCACGATCACTAGCTATGGGCCGTGGTGCATACGATAATGGAGGTGGTGTGCCGGGGGATTCTCCTGAACGCATATCTCCCGATAGATTAAGACGTAGGGTTGGACGCTCTCCAAGTCCCCGCGGTCGTTATGGTGGCGCTTCACCACACCGCGAAGAGTATATACGGGGAGTACCACCTTCTGCAGAGAGGCCAACTTATAAAGTTTTGTGCGTAAGTGCTTTGCACCCGAAGGCATCAGATGAATTTATAAAAGAGACATTGTATCGTGAATATAAGAAATTTGGCGACTTTAGTATTCGAATTTCGCGCGATTTGGACGAGAGAGTTGCATATGTATGCTTTCGAACTGCTGAGGATGCTCGAGAAGCAAAACATCACAAACCTCGTATTGTTCTCTACGATAAGGTAGCGCTAGTGGAACCAGTGTATGAATCTTCTGGACGTAGTGAACATAGGTAAGCAATATTTAATTTATATATACATGTATGTATTTATTAATTTATATTTATAATAGTAGTTTACAAAATAATTTAATCTCATAATAATTTATCAAAGATTTCTAAAACAAAGCTATATAAAGATTTTAACCCCTTACCGCTTCTCGCCATATCAAAAACCATTGCATTGTGTTTGTCATTACCAGGGAAACTGAAAACATGCTCTAAAAAAGTGTTTTAAGCGCTTTAAATATGCCGTAAAAAACTCAAAATATACTCTTAAAATTTAAAAAATATACTCTAAAAATAAAATTTTTCGTTATTTTTTAACATTGAAAAGCTCATAAAGAAAGAAATTGTAATGAAATAATAAATGTTTAGTGTCATATTTTATCCTACAAGATTTTTTATAATTGATTCATCTCATAATTTGAAGAACTAGTTTAATAGAATTCCGTTTTACGTTCAGATAACCAATGAATGACATGAAACCATTTGGACCCCAAAACACATATTTCAAACGACAAAGTTTGACACATTTCTTCCAATTGTATTCATAGCTTCTGACTGACATTTTAATCGGTGTTGTCATAAATTCCAATAATTACTTTTTTAAACTATAAAAATGGATTGGTCTCATGAAATCTAAAGTAATCTGTTTTATGTCTGATTTAAAATGTAATACTTTATTGAACAAAAAACTATAACATTGGTTTTCATGAGAGTAATGTATTTTTTGCAGTTTTTAAGTTTTTAGTTTCTACAAACGAATTTTTTTTTTCAAAATTGTAAAATAGGCTAAAAAATTAAAAATAAAAAAATAAAATTTATTTTTTTTTAAATAAAGTTTTGAAAATGTACAAAAACGAAAAAAAGCGAAAACATCAAAATATGCACTAAAAGAGTAAAAAATGCTCTAAAAACTCGAAAATATGCCTTAAATATGCTAAAAAGTCAAATCATGCAAAATTATGCTCTTATGGGTAAAATATGCAAAAATATGCTCTAACAAATCGATGCCAAAATTCTTAAATTGGTCTGAAACGTGTAAATATCTTATCCATGAGTCCATACGACGCTCCTCAAAAAACATGCATTTGCATATTTTGATTTCCCTGGTCATTACATTTCTACGCATTGAAATGTTATAATTCCGTTTACACATTTTGTCATTACGAGTATTTTCATATATCGTATATCGATTTAAGGTGATACGAAATACATTCCATTAAAAACGGTTTAAAATTCATAGTCATTATTAATATCTACTTTACTTTAGGTTGTAGATTACGTTATTTTTGCATATCAAAATAATAATTCTATTTGTTATAATAATTCTATCTGCCACACATCCGTTAGAAATGGTTCAAATCGGTCGATTTCGTTTTATATTAAAAAAATTAATGTTTATAACATTTTTTTAAAACATTTTTAATTACATCGTTTATTACATTTTATGTTTTATTTGCTAAAATGTGACTTGATAACAGTAATTTAAGGAATAAAATAAAAATATGGGATGTTGAATTAATTAAAAAAAACTACTTTTTGTTTTTAGGCCTCGTGGACGTTCAATTTCTCCACCGGAATATGACCGTTATCATTACACTAGGGTGCCAGGTCCACCACCGGGGCCACCGGAACACCGTCGACCGCCTTTAGATGCCTACGATCGTTATGGGCCTCCCCATATTCCCCCACATCCTCATACTCGCGAATATAGACCTATTCATCATGAGTACCCGATGCCACCAAGAGGTCCTCCAATGCACCGCGGTCCTCCGCATTTACACGGACCCCCACCACCTCACTATGGTGGTCCACCACGTCATATGGGGCCAAGACCACATGTACCGTATGAAAAGCCAGAAAATAAAAAGGATAAATTTCCCAATTATTTGCATCATGTCCAACCCGAGGATGATCCTCTATCTACACGAACACTATTCGCTGGAAATTTGGAAGTGACAATTGCAGACGATGAACTTCGTCGCATATTCGGTAAATATGGAATTGTGGATGACATTGATATCAAGAGACCTCCACCAGGCACTGGAAATGCGTTTGCATTTGTCAGATATCAGAATTTAGATATGGCTCATAGGGCTAAATGCGAACTATCTGGACAATACATTGGCAAATTCCAATGTAAAATTGGTTACGGCAAAGTGACTCCAGCAACACGAATTTGGATTGGTGGTTTGGGTGCATGGACATCAGTTACGCAATTAGAGCGGGAATTTGATAGATTTGGTGCTATTAAGAAAATAGAGTACCAAAAGGGAGATACTTGTGCGTACATTCAGTATGAGACCATTGAAGCAGCAACGGCAGCAGTTAAGGAAATGCGAGGATTTCCTTTGGGCGGACCAGAAAGACGCTTGCGTACCGACTTCTCGGAATTACCAGGTGTGACTCCTACAGCAGCTCCTTTTAAACCGAAAGCACCGTATGAGGAAACTGCTGGCACTTCGATTCCATCCTCTGAATACAGACGCCCGGAATACGACTATCACTATGAAGATACTCACCATCACCATCCTCCACACCATCATTATGCACCACGCGGAGGATATGCTCCATATCCACCCCGTGGTTCATATCGCGGTCGTGGAGGATATCGTGGACGTGGTCGTGGCTCATATCACTACCACAATGATGTTCATAGACCAGCACACCCAAGTGCGCACTCTTCATCTGCTGCACCAGTTCCTCCTCCTGCCGGAGTTGAAGATGAATGGCGCCGACCTCCTGGAGAGCCCGGTTTCGATAGAGGTCGTTCCGGTTCAAGAGAACTAAGGTCGGATCGTTCACGGTCACGTTCGCCACACAAAAGAACCCACTCTCCAGGTTCAGATTCAGATTCATCGCAGCATCGCAATGGCGGCTCATTAGCTTCTGCGCGTACCTTACCGGATGTCGCACGAAAATGTACTGTAATATGGCAAGGTGCCCTTATACTTAAGAGCTCTTTATTCCCTGCCAAGTTTCACCTTACCGATGGTGACACTGATATCGTCGAATCGCTGATGCGTGATGAAGATGGCAAGCATAACTTACGTATTACACAACGTTTGCGTTTGGACCCTCCAAAATTGGAAGATGTCCAAAAGCGTATTAGTTCTTCGTCTTCACATGCCATTTTCCTGGGCTTGGCCGGCTCAACATCCGTTGCGAACACCTCCGAAGACAGTTCGGTACAGACTAGGCCTCTTCGTAACTTAGTGTCGTATCTTAAGCAAAAGGAAGCTGCTGGTGTTATTTCTCTATTGAACAAGGAAACCGAAGCAACTGGTGTGCTATATGCATTCCCTCCTTGTGATTTTTCAGCCGATCTTTTGAAACGGACGTGTTCAACTGTAACTGAGGAAGCATTCAAAGAGGATCATTTGGTAGTGGTCGTGGTTAGGGGCGGTACGGCTTAAGTGAATCTATTACAAAATTTTAATTAAGTTAAACTTCAAAAAATTCATCAACTTGAACAAAACAACAAACCAACATGAAGACGAAATCATACTATTAAAAGTTTTATGATCATATACAAGAAATACATATACATCCATACTATATACAAAAATATAATAATACATTTTTAGAGGTCTATTTGCAGAAAAAAGCAGCATTCTGTTACAATTTAATATCCAAAAGGTTACTTAATATTTAACTAATTTAAAAATGAAAATTCTATTGTTCTTCAAAGAAAAAGAAAAACTAAAATAACTGTGTTCCTATACTTGTCGTAATATTTTCTTTATTTGGTCAGAATGCCAAAGGCAAAGCTTAATATTATTATGTAAAGACATTTAGAGTTTGGACACAAATCCAAAGTTCTGACTATAACTTGTAAATTTTACAAGTACGGGAACAGAGTTAAAAAATGAAAATAAAAAATATGTAATTTGTGCCAATTGTAAAATCAAAAAGAATTTTAGTTATATACTCGTATGTACTTGATTCCAAAACTAAAGCAGTTGTGCATGCTTCCAAAAGCAAAGTGTATGAATACAATTTTATATAAATTTAAACAATTCAATGTGTTGTTCCCAATAGAAATCCACGAAAAAGCATAAATGTATAAATATATCAATTAACTATTTAATTAATAATCCCAAGTATTTTTTCATAAAAATGTTTTCATTAGTTGAGTGGCAAAAAGTGGTAAAATTAACATAGACAAACAAAAAAAATGGTGGTTCTTCTGAAAATGTGCATTTTTTTCAAAAATAATTATTTTTTGTGTTCTTTTCATTTTTGTGAGAAAATGTTTTTTATTATTTTTTTTCAAATGGGTAATTTCTTATTTAAATGTTCAAAAGTGTTTTTTTATATAATTGGCTAAAGTTCTACATACTAGTAAAAATGGTGTACAACGGGTGACTAGGTGACTACTGTGCTACAGAAAATTCTTGTGTGGTCTGTTTTATAATAATCAAAATTTAAATCGGGTGCTTAACAAACCTATACTCTCTTTGTGTAATTATTTTCAAAAATTATTTCAAACTTAATACAACAACAACAATAATATTTATTGTTTCAAAAAAGTGATCACAATGTGCTGTGTTTGTTCGCATTTAACAACTTTATAAAAGTACAGGCAATTTTAAACGTACCTGCAGTCCTTGTGTAGTCTGTGGTTATGGTTATTTTAAAAAAAAGTTCAAAATTTATAGACTTTTGAAATATGTTTCAAGTAATTAATCTGTTCAAAAGTGAAGTGAAGGTCAACAATGCATGATGACAGTTACAGTTTCCTTATTTATGACAAGTGATGTTTTCTTTTATAAAACTACCACTGTCCAACTTACAGTTCAGTTCAGTACTTTATAATTGGAAGTTTTTCAATTTTATATATTCCAAAGTGGTGTTGTTGCAGTGAGAATCATCTGTGGACAGATTCAATTTTTAACTAGTGTTTTTGTACTTCTTTTGTTTGCCTCGATTCAATTTTATTTCTATTTGCACATCCTTAGAGAACTAGTTGTAGCATTTGTTTGAAAATTATGTAAAATTGAAAAGGGTTTTGCAAATGTTACAGAGTTTTCTACAAGGTATGCCCACCAATAAAAAATAAAAAAAAAAAACTGTTCAGTTGACGAGTAACTCACTCAAGTGGCCACAACAAAAACAAATAAGCAAAAAAGCAAATTATATATAAATGAGTGTAATTATTATATCCCAACACCTTGAAAAGATTAAGCTTAAATTGTAACACTTAAGTTAATTTCAAAAAATTACTATCAATAAATATTTTAGTCTTACATACATATATCTATGTATGAATAATTATACACACATACATGCATATATTATAAATTATAGCAGTGTTTAACACATTTTACAGAAAGTGAAGTGTGTTTTAGAACATGGTTTTATTGAGTATAATAAAAACTTATTTACAACATTAAATTAAGAAATATCAATCATAATAAATATAATAAAGTGTCGCAATTGCAAAAAACTTCGGTGTGTCTACTGTATAAGATAAATAACCATCATTATCAGCATCCCACAGAAAATTGACGAGAGAATAACAGCCTTGCATTAATTTCTCGCCAATGCTGACAACGACAATGTAACGGTATCTGAAAGAATTAATGGTAAGCATTAATAGTATTATAAGACAATACTAGTCATTATAAATTATTCTGATTCTGAAATAGGTATATTGATGAATTTGTTTTTTTTTTACACTGAACTCATAATAATAATTATTAAAAAGTATTAAAAAATTGCAAACTATTCATAATTGGAGTAAAATGTCCATTAACCCACACTTTTTATTTTATATTCTTGGATATATATATTTTGTTTCTTTATTTTCCATGATAATGCATATCAAAAGAAGGTGTTCGAGTAGTTTTCTTTATAATGTGTATATCTTTATCGAACATAGCATCCAAAATATAATCAAAATTCTGAAAAAACATTGTTTCTTTCTCGGAATTTTACTCTTATTTGTACAATTTAAAGAATTTTCAGAATATACACAAAGGCTATGCAAAAATAACCAGCCTGTAAACTGTTTCAATGATCTAGATTTATTGCAAATTTCCTTACCGATCATAGTTTTGGCTTTTAATGCGATTTTTTATTTCTTCGCTTACTTCAGCACATAACTCTAATATGGATTTTGGAGAATAATTGTATGACCCAAATGTATTATCCATAACAGTTTTCATTATTTTTTCACATACTTCCTTGTTAAAAGGCCTAATAGGTTTCATACGATAAGTGGGCATAAATCGCATAACAGGCTGCAAACAGGAAAAAAACATACAATTAAAATGGTCAGTAAAATAAATTCATAAAGTTTTTAAACATACCTTAGCTGTTGCGGACACAGTAAATTTTGCTACTTGAGAATTTCGTCTTCTCTGCAAAAATGATAATTATTTTTAACTAACACTAATCTTTTTATCTTTGTTAAACTATATACTTTTAATGCTAACAAATATTTCTGTCTACATATCGTATATAGCTTACAAGCTGTTAAATTGTAACTAATTTTGTTAAATCAATATTTTTCAGATTCTATAGAAACTATGTTCTGTGTATGCTTGCTCAATGTATTATTAGTAAATTTTAATAATACATATTTGGATAATTAATACAAATAAAAAGAAAAGGCAAGGGAGAGCTCATATGTTAGGAAATTTATCTTAGGTATTTTGTAAAGGGCAAATAGTTGCATAGCTATTTGTATATACCACGACGTGATTAATAAATAAAGCAATGAAAATTTCTCTTCGGATACGTACGATAAGGAGTAAATAAGAACTTACCTCATTCGTAATTGAAGGAGCTGGAACTTGATTGTCTGCATTTGATTCCATCATTATTTTTTGATATTTAGAATTGTATGAATTTATAAGAGTGAAATACGAATATTTTCTGTCAAATTATCATCATAACCCCCCAAACATTTCAAAATTATGATCAATCCCCGTATCGTTGACATTATGACAATGACTCAATATCTATATAAATATATACATATGTATGTATGTATAATATAGCAGAAATGTTTTTACATCACTACATGGTTTTTTAAGCGGTTGTGCAGGAGTTTGTAACGCATAATAACGGGCATGCTCGGAAATGCATCACTGCCCTCCATCTGATGATTAGTTTGAGATGTTGATGCATATAGACTGTTGCTCATTTTATGCAATAACAAATAGTAATTGCGAACGCACAAGGTATACATGTACATACAGATGGGCATAGCTTAATCGAATCAGAAAGTGAACCGATTGGTATATTTTAAGGTGGGTGTATGATCAATATTTTCATGAAATAGAAATCTAAATACATTACTACAAACTTAACGCATCAGTCACTTTTTCCGTTTTTTGCTCATTATATATTGCAGTCATGAATTTCCGATACAGCGCAGTGATGCATTTATCCAATACTGCATCCAAACACTTAATGTACGCCAAACAATACCGAAAAAATTAAAAAACTTTTAATTATCTAAAAATCATAGATTCACAAAAATATAATACTAGGTCCTTTTCTATCATTTTTTAAACGTAAACATTTTTAAAAGAAATCGAAGTACGTAAAACGAATTTTTATAGAGTAGTTCGTCGTGCTATACGAAATTCGTTGTTCGTTCCAATAGGCCCTTCTAAAGTTTTTCATATATTCATATTGTCCATTATTCTATTTTCAAAAATGTCTATAGTGTTTGGCCCGTGGGTGATATTTTGTTGTAAATATTAAAAAAAATCATATTTTAACGTATATTTTCCAACTAAAAATTTAATTTCAATTCAGATTAGAAACATGTCCGCCTTTACTATTTAATTCGGATTGATTTTTTTTTAAATAACAAAATATACGAAGTCGTTTTTCTCGAAACAATCTTTTAGGATAGCAAAATAGATATTTTTCTTAATAACATGTAGTCAATGTATTATATTTTGTAACACATATTTATTATTTATTTTTATTACATAATGTTATTATTAGGAAATACATATGCAAGTGAAATTAGACTTAACTTATGGGAGTGTAATATAGAAATTTGTTAACTGTTTTCTAGAATTATTAAAAATATCGATAGTTGACTCCGTGTAACTGGAAATTTTGCTCTTAACATGCGACATTGAAACCAGACGACATTAGTGTGATGGGATAATTATCATATGTTAGAAAGTGAATTTAGTTACGAGTTGTGAAAATCGATAAAAGTATTTTTAATATAATAGGTAAGTCATATATTTCCTGCGAAAAATTTCGATTTTGTAGATAAATCGATTTATTCCATTTGATTTATTTACTTTCGGAAGTTTTTGGAAGTTGACATTTTTTTTTTGAAAAAATTTAAAAAATGTTTTCACTTAAATCGACTCCAAGCACATAATTATTTTCCCATAAACATACATACATATTTAACTATATACGAATAGATCGTGTGCAAATATAATGTTACATAATATTGGTTAATATATGTTTGTAAGTGTAAGTTCACAATATATTGTGTAATAAACATGTAAAGTGTTTGTTTTTCTTTCCTTTTCTTTAAAATATGTTGTATAAAATATAATTGAAATATAAAAAATGTGACCTTTTAGTTTAAACTAAATACATATACAAATATTTACGAGTATATAGTACATACATTCATATATTAACTTAAAAAAATCATATTTCAAAAACTACAATTGATATAAATTGTATTAAAGCTTCTTTTTTTAATTAAGTATTATAGAGACATGTGTTTGTTCTTCCTAATCGGTATATGAAATCTCTAATATAATAGATGCACATTAATTCATACAGTACAATACAATAAATCACATTTTAAATAAACATTGATATACAAAGTGCAATGAATGGCGTTATTATCTGTAATACTGACTTATTTAATTTATTTTGTTTTTATTCTAACATTGCCTATAAATGAGATTATAATATGGTTTTACACGCACACATACATATGTATATACATACTCACAATATTAAATTAAAACTAAATATTCATTAATTGTAAGAATAATACATAAATACAAGAATATACATATATTCTGGACATACATTTATTTCATTATAGATATTATGTTTACATCTAGACACATTTAGTTAGACGAATATTTTTTTATATTTTACGTGAGTGATTAGTATAGCATGTTTTATAATAATTTGTGCTTTATAAAAATGTATTTATTTTTGTATTTAAATTAAATATAATGTGGTTGTGCTATTATATAGCCTTTTTTGGTCCAATTCTTTCAAACCGTATTGGCAAAGATTTTTCTTGTTGGGCCAATACAGCAGTGTGAATAAACTTTAATGTTAATCGTTGGAACGAACTTTGCGTAGCGAACCACGATTAAATTTGCAAATAGACTCCAAGAGAGCAGATCGTTCTACTTCGTTGCCACATTCAGTGTCTGATGTAATATTCGGTGACGATGATTGTCTATCAACACTGGCTAAGGAAGAAGTTTGACGCAACTGCTGGGAATTTTGGTGACTTTGACATTCATTGGATTTTTGATATGGAGAAGGTGTTGTGGGTGGAGCTAAAAAAGTAAATTTAGTATTTAAATCAATTTTGAACTCTATCGACCAATTTTCAAAGGTTGTATATAACTTACATTTTAGAGAATTGTTGGCGTCTTGTGAAAAACTCGCAAGGTGCATGCTATTCACGCGGCTGAATTGATTTGATGCGCCCTCTGTTGATTCAGCTGCGGAAATGCCACCTGTTGCGTTAGCTAAAGGAATTTTACCGTTATTATTCTGTAACGAACTCTGCTGCTTAAGTTTGGATTGCTTATGGTCATGTTTCTAAAAAAATAGTAAACTTGTTTGTAAGGAATATTATTCTTTTGATTTAATGATTTTCGTACCGCTTTTTGTTTTGATTTTCGTTTTTCTTCTTCTGAACTCATTAGTTCTTGTACTCGAACAATGCGCTTTTGATTTTTGACAGATTTTTGCTCATCACGCAAACGATTTTCAGCTTTTTGTACAGCATTTTTAATAATTTCTTTTGCGCCCAAGGAAATTTTAAAATATGGCGTGGTTTCTTGAATTTCAGAATTTATTGCGTGTTCGTTGAAAAACTCATGCTTTATCAATTGTTCTAAAGTTGGGAGACCAGTCTTGCAAGCATCCTTAGATAATATACTCTCAAGTAGATGTTCTAAAAATATGTTTTGTATTATTTTTAGTAATTTAAATAAAAATGTTATGAATATTATAGAAAGTACTAACTTAAATCTTCCGGACAATCTGTTATTTGCCTAACGACCGATTCCTGTAATGGATAACCCATTGTCATTTCAAACAATACATGACCGAAGCAGTAAACATCAATCGCTTCAGGCTTATGTATTTTGCTGTGTTGGACAAAAAATGGACGATAAAAAGATGGGACTCCAAGAATAAAATTTTCAATATCCAGAAGACGTACAGAGTCATCTAATATTACTATATTTCCCGAGTGCAAGTGACCTTGAAAAGTAAAAAAAATGAATGAATGTTATGGAGCCTAATTCTACATATTACTAATTCATGTATTACCATATGGGTAGCCTTTAGAATGTAAAAATATGAGAGCTTCTAATATTTGTTTGCCATATGTAGCTACTTGTTTCATTGATAGGGCGGTTCGCCCTTTCGGATTTCCATATTTACTTAAAAAGGGATTTTTGGGTGTAGCCATACATAAGATGTCCTTAAGAGTTCCATGTTTATGAAACCTAATAAAGAAAATAATTATATTGCTTTATATAGTTAATTCTTAGTAATATGCAGATGCTTGTTTATTACTTTCTAATTACTAAGCAGCCATTTTCATTATGTCCTGCGTATACAATTGATTCAATATGTGGGTGCTGCAGGTTCATTAGACTCTTTAAAATTCCTGTCAATTCCTTGTCTTCGATATATTTGTCGGGTCCAAATTCCAGCCATTCTATTACCAACTCATCACCTTCGTGATGGCCTGAATGCAAAGATGTATGTTGTTCACTACTGGAACCTGATGCACCACCCGAGTTTAAATGTTGTTTGGATTGATTATGCGATTGTGAGCCACTTTTTACTAACAACTTGTTGCTAGATTTGCAATCTGGAGGTTTAGCTAAAGCCTTGAAATAATGTTTTCGTAAGCGCCAACCAATTGCTCCCATTGTTGAACCTAACGTCCAGGAACTTTCGTTTCGCAAACATAATAATGCATTCTGAACAGCTTGATCTAAAAGAAAGGTTGTCAATAGACCTACATTGGTTTGTTTGTAAATAGAAAAATATACCATGAAATGATTGCTGATAACTATCCGGATCGACAAAACGTTTCGCCGGTAGCGATGATGCTAATATAGGATTCATTAGTACTGTGTTGATGTAAATTTGCAGGGCTTGTCTACGTTCAGCTATAAATTCCGGACGCATATTACCAAACAATCGTTTGCCGGGTAATGGTAACTCGAGTCCAGAGATCGAAAGACATTTATGCAGTTCAGCAAAGTCATTGTAACGTCGTAATATTCTCCAAGTTTGTTTTTTTATAATCCCACGTTGTAAACGTAAAAGATACTCCTTAAATGAATTGAAGCAAAAAAAAAAATCAATAAAGCATATGAACATGCATACGTATATATGTATGTATGTGTGTCCGACTATTGTCACTACTAAATATTGATTTTTTAGCTAATAAGAGCTGGGGGTGGTTATGAGACACATACCACCCCACTACATATTAACTTCTGCATTCATACGATGTACATACACATACATATAGTAGTAAATTTTCAATTATTTGTACATTTAACTTATATTGTTGTATTTATGTATATTAAAATGTATATAAAAAATAATGTTTTAAAAAATGCATATTAGATTATATACATATGTGATATGTATCTACATATGGTTTTATGTACATATGTGAAGAAAATAGAGTACTTTATTAAAGGAACACCTATTTTTTTCTTTTTCTATGTCTGAATATAGAGTGGTATCCACTTACCGTATGTCCATTTACTTCCTGTGCCGTTTCAATAATACAGTTAATTTCATGAGTGTCATCAACTTTAGTTAATTGCGGATCGAATCGCCTCTCAAATATGGCCATGGATTTTTAAGATATACATTTTAAATAAAATCTTATATTTTCTAAATATAATATATGTTTTTCTATTCTTTTCCTGCTTCTTAAAATTTTTTATTTACTTTTGATTAGAAAATTTCAACAACTTTTTGCTAGATGTGTATGTCTAGAGACTAATTAATTTATTCGCCGTAGACAAAATCCGGCAGCCTCAAATGATGACGGCGGCTGATTTAATGCATCCCATTGGCGGCTTAACGTAGTCATATAGCTAAAGACAAAAAAAAAATAAATTTAAAAAATTATGTATATAAAATATGTATATATTCTAGCCGACATAGGGGAAAATTTAAATTTAATAAAAAATATGAATTTTTAGTAAAAATTTAAAACTTCTTTAAAAAAATTAACACAAATTTGAAATTTTACATAAGATTCTAAATTTCACTAGAAAATTCAAATTTTCACCAGAAAATTAAAAATTTGACTATTAAAAAAATTAATAATATTTAAATTTTTCATTAAAAAATTTAATTTTGTACCAATAATAATTTTTTACTAAACATTTATTATAGAAAATTAAATCAAATGTCACATTTTTACGAAAGCAATAATTTAAACATTCTTCTCGAGGTAATTGAAAATTTAATTTTTATGTAAAAGACAAAGCAATAATTTTGGCGATTTTTTATAAAACGATCTGGTAACTCGTATTTTAATTTATGATATTTAATATATTGTGGCACCCTTGGCATTTGTTTACAAGTTGCACAAACAACATCTTCCTGTTTTTAATTTTTATCGTAGAAGATGGAAACTAAATTTAAAATGTAAGATGCAACTATTAATTTAAATTTTGTATAACATATAGAAATGATATTTAATAAATACTATTCTAACAAACATTAATCTTATTTAGATTAGTTGTTGGCGACGTCCGTGGTCGTTTCAAGCAACTGTTTCAGCGTGTCGAAAGTATCAATAAAAAATCGGGTCCTTTTGAAATTTTATTGTGTGTTGGCGATTTCTTTTCAGAGGATAGTAAACAAAATGAAGAATTAATTGCTTATAGAAATGGTCATAAATATAGTAAGTTGATAAAAAGATTCATTATAAAACTCATTTATCAAAGTAAAAATTGTACTGTCTGGTTCGGCTCAACGCAAATGTTGAAGTGAACCACAGTTTAGCTAGCTTCAAATTTCACATACAATTGCAGTTAATCATGAGACATTTATTTGGTTACAGTTGCCGTTCCAACCTATATACTTGGTCCCAGTCGGACAAATCTTATTAAATACTATGAAAATATAATAGATGGTGAAATATGCCCGAATTTAACTTACATGGGCAGAAGAGGTCTTTACACATTAACAAATGGAACTAAAATTGCTTATTTAAGTGGTTTGGAGAAGCCATTAGACTGTCGAGATGAAGAAATATATTTTCAAATGGAAGATATAGAAAGCGTTCGCAATTCCTGCTTAGTAAATAAATCCGTATCAAGTGATTATCGTGGAATTGATATACTTTTGACGTCCCAATGGCCATATGGTGTTAGCGAAGACAATGTACATACATTAATTATAGTTTTTATTATACATATTAAAATTTTACTTTGATTTTTTTTTAAATTTTATATGCTTACATTTTACAATGAAATTAAAAGAAATTTGTAATTTTAACTTAAAAAAATTTTTACTTATTAGAAAAATTCATCAAAACTTATATCACTGTTATCCCGAGATGTAAAGCCCAGATATCACTTTTGTGGTCAAAACAATGTACATTTTGAACCTCCCCCATACAGGTATGTACATGTTACTACAATTTTCGTATTAATTTCAAAATAACATTACTTTTTAATAGATTAGCTTCAGATCAAACTACGCAATTGGAACTCTGCACACGCTTCATATCATTAGCAGAAGTGGGTAATACGAATAAAGAAAAATACATCTATGCGTTGAGTTTGACCCCAGTGGAAAGGATGCGTGTCGTGGATCTTATACAAAAGACCACAAACGAAGTTAAATGTCCTTTTGGGGATATACGTTTTACAGACCTAAACCTGAAAGGGACCAATGTAAGTATTATGTGAAATGTTTAAAAATTTCGTACCTTTCATACTTTGCTTTTTTAGTATGAAAATAAGCAATACTTTTTCGATATGAGCTCTAAAGATGGAGGTAGTAATCGTAAGAGGTCTAGTGGTTCCAATGAACAATCAATAAAAAAATCAAAAATACCACATTGGGATCAAGGTAGGTTTTTCACACAATTTGAAAATACAATTGATATAACTGTTATTCGTTTTAGAAATTTGCTGGTTTTGCTTGTCGTGTCCAAATGTGGAAAAACATTTAATTATTTCTATAGGGGAACATTTTTATTTGGCTTTAGCTAAGGGACCCATTAATGATTATCATATCTTAATATTATCTATAACCCATATACCATGTGCTGCTCAACTGACAGATGACGATTGGAAAGAGCTGAATAAATTTAAAAAAGCTTTAATCGAGTTTTTCAAAGACCACAATCAAGTCGTTTGTTTTACGGAGAGAAATTACAAATCCTCTCACATGCAAATTAACGTGTTCAGTGTCGATGAAGGATATGCTTGGAAAATTCCTCATGCTTTTGAAGACAAGGCTGAAGAATTTAATTTGCAATTTGAAACAATCCCGGATTTGACATCAGGAAAGATATTACCACATCAAGGACCATATTTTGTTGCGGAGCTTCCAAATAATTCTACATTGATCACTAGGCAAATGAATCACTTTCCAATACATTTTGCAAGGTAATTATTAAAAAACAACTGTCATTCACGATTTTACAGTGATATTTCATTTGTATTTTTTTTGCAGAGATGTTTTCTGCTCGGAAAATCTTTTAAACTGTGACGAGAAAGTTGATTGGAAATCGTGTAAATTGGATAAAGAAAGAGAAATTGAATTGGTTCAAAACTTTAGAGATAAATTTTCCAAGTATGATTTCACATCATGAATTTTAAGTAATTGTGCTAGGTATAAAATGTTAAATATATATGTAGTTTCATTTATTATCAAAATTGTATATGTACGTATGTATGTATATGTTTTTCAATATCTAAAATAGACATGTGTATAAATTATTGATAATTTGTAAATGGCGTTTTATTCATACTATGTATACGACTAGTTAAAACTTTAAATTAGGAATTTCGCTGATAAATTTTGTTTAAAATCTGCAAGAAAATCTCATGGGGTACACCTCGCGAAGTTTGCTGTATATGAGTCTTTATCATGTTGTAGGATTCTTCCTCATAAATTGCGTACGTATTTGGAAGTCCCAACGATTTATATAACTCTTTTACTCGAGCTGCCTTTTCTGGATCTGAAAATGTTAAGAGGTTATTAGAGCATATTTACGAACAGTCTGTTGAATAATGTACCAGTTTTTCCATAGCATTCTAACATGATTTGCTTTTGTTCTTCATTAGCTCTTTGCATACAAACTACTGCTAACCATGAACATTTATTGTCTTGGATATCGGTGCCTATTTTTCCTGTAACCTCGGGATTTCCAAAACAATCTAAAAAGTCATCTTGAACCTGAAAAAAGTGACCCATTTCCAAGAGAATGGTTTTTGATTGCCGAAAAGCTTCTTGGTCCTTAATTCTAAAAAGAAAAATATAGTTTTCTATAAATGAATAAAATGAATGAATATAGATCTTACCCGGCTAAGTGCATTGCTAGGGCAAATGGCAAATAGAATGAATAATAGGCTGTTTTATTTGCAACAATTGCGTTATATTTGTCCATATCAAATGATGTTACACTTTTGTTGGCGTTTAGTAAGTCTAAACTTTGGCCGCAAGTTGTAATGAATGTGATTTCATGAAAAAGATCCATTAAGTCCACATAACAATCCATATGGCTGAAGTATTTTTTCAATAGGATATAAATAGCATTTTCAATCATTAAAGCATCATTTAAAGCTATCAAGCCAACATCTTCTACTTTATACCAGCAAGGTTGGCCTCGTCTAGTTGAACTGCTATCCATCACATCATCGTTAATAATAAAGAAACATTGTAGCTTTAGAAGTAAACGTAGACAGTTGTTTTTATTGATTTTATAGCCACATAATTTTATAAAAATAGAAATACATACCATTTCTACACACCATCCCAAAATATGTGCTAATTTTAAATTTTCGTCAGTAATGTCCTTGGCGTTGACTAGATTTTTGTATGTTAAGACAGTAAGAATACCTCGGTTCTTCTTACCTTTGGGTACATTGTATTGCAAAGCCTTTAATTTTTTATATAAAATAGATTTAAATTCTTGAATATTAAATATTGTATTATCTTTATAAAAAACTTACGCGAGCAAACCAATTGGATGCATCACTTGAATTGTAACTGTTGGCTGCTTCAGTTAGGTCACGTACAATATCTAGAAAATATTATATATAGTACATATTACATATTGTTAAAATATGCTCAGAAATTACTTATTTCAAATAACATATTTACATATTTGTCATTTTAAAATAATGTTATTTCTATTATCGCCACAAGCGATATTCAAATTTCTTCTTTGTTTGTATGATGTAAATTATTTTCAGATATGCTCTCAAAAATTTGACTTTAAGGTGTTTGTTTTAGATAACAATCAAAATGTCATCGTTTTTATGTGAAAGTTGAGTATTTGATCTTATTACGTCTATTTACTGAATGCATATAAACTGTAAATTATTATTGATGACTTATTCCTAATATCAGAATATTAATAAATGAATATAAAAGCTACAAAGCTAAAAGATTTCTAACACCGGAATATATAAATTTTCACTTTCGTTATACCTATGTATTAATGTATTTACATACATATGCATGTATGCGTAATTTAACTTACCAGGAAAAACCGCCATAAAATTTCGGCTTTCATCCTTTGAGACCGTTACTCTAGCTGCTATTGGCACAGAATGATTCTGAAGTGTTGACAAAGTTCTGTGGAAAGAAAACACGGTATATATTAGTGGATATTAATATAATAATGAACACATGGAATTTAAGTATTTTAAGATGAAAAATGTATTCGTATTGTTACAATTGAAGCAGATTACAAAGGTTATGTGAAAAAATTACTAATCAAGACACATTTATTGATATAATTTCTAGAATTTACATATTTTTAAATTACTAAATAAATACATATCTATCTTACCTTGTGGTCTTTCTTATTTTTTGTCGATTTACTAAATCTGTTGGTAGTCCGCCAATGCGATCTCCAACATCCTTTGAGATTTTTTCAGAATTTTGGACATATCCTGTGGTTGATATAATACGCTTTGTCAGGTTTGATCCTAACAAATTAAAGGACCTATTTGCAATAAAACCATTTTTTATTACAGTTAACATTTTATATTACAATGATTTTTCTTTGTTTATACTAATTCGTAATAAATTAGACCGATTTCTCTTTTTTCTTTGGACGATGTGTTCTTTATGCGAGCAAAACAAAAAATAAAGAAATTCCTAAACTTTTAACTTGTTTTTTGTTTCAAAGAATGCAATACAAAATAAAATGAAAAGTTTGACAACAAAAAATCACTTTACAAAAACAACAACGATTTTGAGTGTGTTTTATAATTACCGTATGTAATAGGGTGTAGCAAAAATTCGATTTTAAAAAGTTTGACTTATTGCGATTTTTAAAGCGCCATCGCCACATATCAAACCAGTTCCTCAAATTTATGTGTATGTTTGGTAATATTCTGTTTTTTTTGTAATAATTTTTTTTTTAAATTAAAAATATTAATAAATATTATTATTTTGGCCATAATGGTGGTCAATATTTAAAATTCCAACTTATTAAATTTTGCAAGGACGTATTTTCGAACTTTTGTTTTTGTTGATTTTTTAACATTTTTCGACTGACAAAGCGATTTCTTATGTTGACTTTCTTCTTGTAAAAGACGGAAATGATGACTTCAAAGGTAATAATAAATAAAAGACGATTAACATACGTAAGTAAGTTAAGTTGATTAGAAACATAGACTTTTATTTTGTAATTTATTTATAACCATATCAATTTACGGGTTTCTTGTTATATTAAAACAAAATTAATTAAAATAGAATTTTAATGTGGGTTATGTCTCATGTAAACACCATGATTTTGTTTTGTTACATACAAAGTAAAAAATCGACAATATTCATAAAATAAATTTAAGTGTACAACACTGCTACTGTCTGCACGTGTTTTATTTTGTTTTGCAAGTGTTTGATGAGGTTTAAAATTTCTGTGATTTTTACATGTTTTTTGGTTTAAATTTAAATAAAAAAGATAAAAATTTTTAAAACAAATTAAATACTTTGATTAAAATTATTTTAATCTTTATTATATGCATTTGAAAAAATAAATAAAATGGAATTTAGTGTTCATAAAATAAAGAAAAATGTACAACAACTTGTATCAATGATTCAAAAACCTAGTGAAAAATTAAATTTCTTACTTGATTTTTTGGGGAAAAAGGTAAAAAAATAATGAAACATGTGTGTTTCATAAATGGTAATTTAAATATTTGTAATAAAATAAATTATGATACATATAATATAATATATTATAATATTTTCACTTTTTACGTACGTTAAAAAAATTGTTTTTAGTACCTATTACCCACATACCATTAAAATTTTGAATGTCCAGTTTAAGCAAATAAATTTTCTGAATGATTATTTGTTCAAAAATTCAAATTGAACGTGAGTATATATGCATTTATTCAGATCCAATATTTTTCACAGCGCATTTTTAATTAAAATAAAACACATGTGTTTTCAATTTTCCTTGGCATTACTCTACTCGACGTCTACATGATCTTGCAGGAATCGGGCTCGTCCATGATAGAATTGTCAAATTGACCACCAACTTCCCCACATTAATGACATGATTCCATCGTGATTATACCGTAGTATAGAATTTTTATCTTAATAGCTTCAAATAGGTTTTTGCAAAAAATTTTCCTTTATTAATAAATCTTCACTGTAAATTTTAAATTTTGTACATATTACAATTAAAAAAAGAAATTACTAAGTAGAAAAGGAACATAGCTCCTAAACTCATGATACTCAAGTCAAATGTAATACAATTGATTTTATTCGAAATAAATAAATAAAGCAATTGTGTTGGAACTAAATTTTAATAAGGGTTCACAATTTGTAAATGGTACCAAAGTAAAAATGTAATCGCTTGTCAAAAAATCTAGGCTACAATGTAAATTTATTGTAATAAATTTAATTATTTTATAGAGCTATCGCAGCAGTGACATTGAATGTTTGCTTCGATGTTTAAGCAGTTCTTTACTCGACGAGACATTAACTATACCAATCGCAACGGCATTTGAAGATTGTTTATTGTTGCTTATAACGAATGCTTTATGTGGGAATGATTTTGAAAATGGCATCGAATACCAATGGAAATGTATCGCTTTGGCAAAACTTATGCATTTGTCGCTATGCGCTAAACGGTAAAAATAAATTATATTTGATTTAATATTCTAAATATAAATAAAAAATATATATTTTTTAGTTTTGCACTGTCCTATTTCCTGGACAAGCCGGCACCATTTTCAACATCTTGTGATGAAGTAGCTTCGAAGAAGTCGAAAACTAATCTAAGCAATAAACCAGATGCACTTGCTATTGTTAAATGTTGTTTTTATCTTTTAAAAGCTGACACGAGTTTTTTCAAGGATCTTTGGAATTGGTCGGAGTTTCTGCTTTGTTACGGCGACCCATCCGAAAATGAAAGTCCTCTTCTGAAAGTGTACAGAAATCACATAGTCGCAATGTTAACAAATATGAATGCTTCAACCTTACACAAGTTGAATGAAAAAATACCAGAAGAATTGCTCATTGAATTCCATGAGGAACAAGAATCTATGAGACTTTTGAATTTATCAGATTCCGTCGGAGATGAATTTTCAGAATCATCAAAGGATACTATTTGTATCAGCCCAAATAGCGCTTTGTTTGTAACAAACATTGAAGGAGTATTTTTACCCATATTTAACAGGGATAATTATGATTACTTTCACATGGTAGAATGTAATCAAGAGAGCATAGTTCGCGTTGAATCAACCAGAGTGAATCTTCGAAGCATTGCTTTAGGTATAACTTCTGGAAAAGCAATATGTCTCTCTGGTCCAGTAGGCTGTGGTAAAACTACGCTCGTTGAGTATTTAGCTCGTATGACTGGAAGAATTGCCCCTAAAAAGGATGTTGTGGAAGATGAACTAAATTCTGTGTTTAACCAAGAAAATAATCAGATAATCAGCAATGTCAATAGCAATAACAAGCAAGGTAATTGTAATAAGCGAAAAATTGTATCAACTGATGTTACAAACTCTGCGCCAACAAATGGGTTTTTACGAATTCAATTGGGTGATCAGACTGACAGCAAAATGTTACTTGGTCAGTATCATTGCACTGATGTTCCCGGTGAATTTATATGGCTACCAGGCGTTCTTACACAGGTAATTTATAAATTTGTATGTATTATCCAAATTATACATCTAATTATATTTCAGGCTGTCATGAATGGCTACTGGTTGCTTCTAGAAGATTTGGACTGTGCTACTACTGATACGTTTACTGTTTTGAGCAGTCTGCTTGAAAACAATTATCTTAGTGTGCCAGGATTTCGTGATTGTGTTAAAGTTACTCCTGGATTTCAGTTGTTTGTGACTGTGAGGTAATTATTATCTTTTGAATATTTTTTTTACGAAATCGAAAATAAATGAAACTTTCTATTCCAGAACACACAAATCTTCGTCCTCAAACTGGTCACAGAAGGCATTGTTTTCTTTATTGGAGAAACATTTGTACCCAATTAACATTTTGCCATTATCCCGAAATGAACTTTGCGAAGTCATTAGAAGAAAATATTCTAAATTGGCGACTGTAGCTAATAGAATGGTAGATGTGTTCCTTACATTTTCTAGTGGAGACCATAATGTAGCCGACAATCTTCGCCAGCAAGAGACCAGAGATAAAGCAAGTGCAACAGAATCCTTCCAGCAATTACCCTACGAAGAAGTTAATATGACGTCTTTAACGAGTTCGGGACGTTTAGTGTCAACGCGTGACCTTATTAAGTTATGCCAAAGATCGAATCCTTCATTTTCTGTTACCAGCACAGAATGTGCATATTTTGTATTTCAAAACGCCGTTGATATATTTTGTTCATATTTGCCAAACAGCAAAGAGAAAACGAAATTAATAGTAGGAATCGGAGCAAAATTGGGAATTATACAGTCTCGTTGCGAATACTTAGCCGATGAATTCAAGCCAGACGTTTGCGTAGATAGTGAACGCATTAAAGTTGGTCGAGCAGAACTTTATGCTCGATCACTATCATCTGCCAGCGATGAAAGAAATGAGATGGCAATGAAGGAACTTTCGCCAGAAGAACAGTCGTTGAAGAGGCTTAAGTTGTCAAACGGCGAGGGAAAGGTCATACGCCATTTTTCCACAAAATCTCACGCGTCATCAACCACTTTTTCATTTACACGGCTGGCCTCTTGTCTTTTGGAACGGATTGCAGTTTGCGTAGCTAATGCGGAGCCAGTGTTGTTAGTTGGAGAAACAGGTGTGGGCAAGACATCATCGGTGCAGTACTTGGCCGCAAGAACTAAACATAAATTAGTAGTTGTAAATATGAACAACCAATCTGATGTTTCTGATTTAGTGGGTGGTTTTAAGCCAGTGGATCTTGCGTATGTTATTGCTCCGTTGCGAACAGAATTTGAAGTGTTATTTAGAAGGACATTCAATCAATCGAAAAATGAATCGTTCCTAACGAAATTCAGCATCTGCTATAATCAAGGCAATTTTTCAGTGATTGTAAAGCTAATGATAAAAGTTGTTGATAATATTTTTGAGAAGTCCGAACGTAATGAATTAAGAGAAAAGGATTTGCTTTTGATGCCCCGCTGGATGGCTTTGAAAATAAAATTGCAAAAACTAAACAGCCAACTCAGTAAATCGATTAATATATCTTTTGCCTTTATACCAGGATCATTGGTTAATTGTATAAAAAATGGCGATTGGCTTCTATTGGATGAAATAAACTTAGCTTCAGCCGAAACATTGGAATGCTTATCCACTATTTTGGAGCCAGATGGATCAGTCGTTTTGTTAGAAAAAGGTGACTTTACTCCAGTTAAAAGACATCCTGATTTTCGCATATTTTCTTGCATGAATCCAAATACTGATATAGGTAAAAAAGATTTACCAGTTGGTATCCGCAACAGATTTACAGAATTTTTTGTCGACGAAGCTGAGACTGAAGCAGATTTGAGTTTGCTTATATCAGACTATTTAAGTGCTACTGGCATCCAAAAGAAGAGTGTTATGAGCATCGTAAAACTGTATAAGAGGCTGAAATCATTAGCCAAGCTAGAGCTGAATGATGGCCTAGGAAATAGGCCAGTTTATTCCCTACGTACTCTTTGCAGATCACTAACAATATGTGCAA